GGGCAAGACAGGAGACATGTATCTTGGGCACTGCCTATCCTCATTCCTCCTCACCTTAAAACTTGGTGGGAAAGGGTAACAGGAATGAGATGGAAGAAGAAAGCTGGAGTTCTGACAGGGAAGGAGTGTATGCCTGCTCCATCTGTCACCTGGAGCAGCAGCTTTGTAGAAGCCATGCAATGTCCAGGGAGGAACACTTGTCCCCCAGCTCTGCCCCCTTGGCAAAGCCATTCCTCCATCAGCCTCCTGGACAAAGCAGTAAACAGGGGTGGCCAGAGCAGAGATGGATTAAGAGTATCAGGAGCAGCCTCTGGGCAGGCTGTGGGGCTGGCTCCAAGGGGCTGGATGCTGAAGCCCAGCACTGAGTGTGGTCCTGGTGCTGGCAGAGGAGCCCTGGGCTGGCTGCTGCTGTGGGGAGCACAGGAGCCCAGCCCAGCCCAGGCTGCACAGATGGCTTGTCTTGTGGCACTTCATTGCAACACCACTAAAAACTCATGAAGCTGTAAGTCTAAATCCAACAGCGTGAAAGTTCAAAAAAATATGAATTTTTTTTCTCCATTCTTTGTCCCATTAAGCTCTAGGGATAAGCTTGATTCAGTTTCATCCCAATACAAAGCCATTAAAAAGATTTAATTACATACAGTTTCTCTCCTATAATCCAAAGTCCAGTAGAAATGCAGATCCCTTCAGTGTTGTTTTTTTTATGTTAGTAAGTAAATTGAACATAGGCAATAAAAACATATAATTTGACATATGCCCCTTGAAGTCTGTACACCACTTACAATAACAGCTGAACATTCAAGGCCAATGGGTAAAAACTGATAAATGTTAAATATTCTGTGAGAAAAACTTCTGCTGCACACAATGTCACAGTGCTCTAATTTCTTAACTGAGAAGGATGAAAAGATCTTTCTGATTATCCACCAAGGTGGGAAAATATAGCACACATATGCCAAAAAAAAGGGGGGGGGATAATAATGACATGCTGTGAAAAGGATTCTATAAATGGAAAGGAAAAATCTGTAACTAGCCTAAATGAGTTTTGTTGTGTAGTGGAAAAAATTAAAAATGCCTCAAGTGAAACTCTCTGAGAGTATGAGGTCACAGCTATCAGGTGAGGTAGAGAAAAAAGGGGAGAAAAGGAAAGAGGAGTATTGTAAAAGCTTACAAGGAAATAAACAAGAATAACAAACTGAAAAATGCCTAAGCAGGAGACTGCTGAAGTGCATGTATTGCTCTAGATGTTCTCATGAGTTTGAAAATTTATTAATGAACACTGCCTAATTAACAGAGCAGAATCTACTTCCTAAGCAGTGTAAAATATGTTAGCGATTTTTTTTTTCCAAAAAGGCAACTCTCATCCATTAGTTATACTCGATTTTAATTAGAACTGTGCTGGGAGGACATGATCTAGAATGACCATGCCTGACAGCTTTGTATATAGATTGAAAAATATGATAATAACAGCCATGCTGGCTTCTACAAAAAGTCTTCCTGGTGTGTCTAACAGCAGAAAATGGAAGAAGATGCTGAGGGAAACTCTAGATGAAGTTGGAAATATCTCTCTAGCTTTCATCAGTCGATAAGTTCCATATTTTCTGAGTCACAAGTCCCATTCACATAATAATTTCCTACAAGGGAGTACTCTATCAATTTTGCTATTATATTTTTTAACTAAATAATATTGCAATAACCTCTAAACAGTCTGTGATTACAAATATACCTTGAATAAACAATACATGAAAAGATGACTCCTTTTTGAAATTGCTGTCTGATGATTTCCTTGAGCGTTTCGTCCCTTTCAGATTGTGTGAAATAGAATATAATTGTTCCTATTCATCTTCTCATTACCATTCATGACTTTGTAGACTTCTACCTTATCTCATATCTGTTGTCTCTTTCCAAGCTGAAAAGTGGACTGTTTAATTTATCTTCTTAAGGAAGATTTTCTGTTCCTCTAATTGCTTTTTTATCCTTCTCTGTACTATGCTCATTGTTAGGGCAAAAATGAAGTCAATAGTTGAGATGTGAGAACACCAGGGATTTTAACAGTGATGTTCTTTGTTCCTTTCCCAGCAATTTTTGCTGCAATGTTAATGTGGAGGATCTTGTCTATTAAAATAACTCAGTTATATGTTCATTCAAAATGAATATAGTATCAAGGGGAAGAAATGGCAGGTGTCTGTATTGCTATCACTGATTACCTATCTATTGCATAATAAGTTTTTCTTTAGGAAGAAATGAACGGTAGTGAAATCAATGGAATGAAATCTCCGAAACATTAATTTTGTATTTTCCACCAAGTATATGCATAATAACAGGCTTTTTAATTGCTGCCATTTCATTCTGTTTCTGTATCTTTACTGGAGCATTTTTACTTGGCACAGAGGAACTTCATGGACTGAGTTTTTGGGGAATATCGACTTGAGTGAGTGAGACCTCATCTTTCTCAGCAGGTGCTAGTGCAAATGGAAATTCCTCTGATATACAGTCATGTCCTCTTATTGAAACGAGTGCTCTGGCAGAAATATTTGTTTAAAAGAAGTGATAGTTCTAATGAGTGTGTGCTAGAACCACAGGGTCATTGTTAGCAAGCCAGCAAAAATGACAAAAGTTGTAGCACTGCGGTTCTTATCTAGATGAATTGCTCAAATTAGTGATGTCCAGAATAGTCAGGTTTCACTGCAACTCCAAACTGAGTGCCACGTTTTAAAGACCTGTCAGTAATCCAGATCTACTGACTTCAGCATAACAAACCACACACCAGAGTAATCATTCCCTTGAGGTTCTTGGCAGTCACCCTGATTTGGTCTGACAGGAATAAAAGAGAATGGAATTACTTTTCTTGGATCTGATCCATGTGCTATCTGTGGCATAGATAGCCCTGAACTTCTGTATAGGTTTTTGACGACATCGGGAAAAGCTGTTAACAGCAGTTTTAGCAAGAAATCACATTGTTTAAAATATAAATAAAAGGCTTAAGAGACATATAAGCTTGTTTCGTTTTCAGAAACCCTCTACCAGGGACTCCACGGGCAGGTAGAAGGGGTTTCTAATACCTATTTAACTGTGCAAGCTGATTTGCCACAAAATAACATTGATTTCCTGGGTGAAGGACACAGAAAGTCCTGAGATCCTAAAGCTTTTGTGTCTCTCCTTTTGTGTGTCAGCAAAAAGAAACATGAATTAACCAGGACAATGTACCATCAATTTTGATTTTTCTGTGGTCATTGCAGCCAGTCATGACTTTTTCTGAAATGGTGCAAGACAGCAAAAATCCTGGGCATATATGGAGCAATGATAATTTCCAGACTGGCAATTCAGGCTGGCTGTGGTGAGTGTCTCATTGTCATCTTCTGATTTATCTTATTTGGAGTTTGTCTTTTTCTCTTTGTAAAAAGAAAAAGCAACCTGATTTAGCTCTGACAGAGAAAATGAAGACCTCTTCAGCACATCAGTAATGATGAAAACCAAATAAAGAGTTGATTTCCAGCTGCCCCTGTACCAACCTTTGTGCCAACCTTTGTGAAAAAGGTGTAACAACTCTTCCAAGTGCTAAGTGACAAACTTAGTGATTATGAAACAGAGCTTTACCATTATGGGTAGGATCATAAAGAGGGGAAGACTTAGTCTGTGGAAAACCATAGAAGGCCAATTTCCATCACCACTGAAACTGTTAGAAATGCCACTTATCATCTGTGCTGTGCTGTGCTAGTGTCTTCATTTAACTAGATGTGAATAATCTCAAACTCACTCTATTCCGGGTGTTCCTCTATATTGCACAAACAAGACATTTTAGCTGCTTTATGCAGACCCTGTGAATAAATTCCATGGACACTACAAGGAGTCAAGATCTGGTAGCCCAGAGAGGATCTGCTTGAATTGCAGATCTATCTCTTAAACTCAGATACCATAATTGCACTGCTTTTGAGCAACTATTACAGATGCCCTGAATGAACCACTTAGTTATGTTCACACAGTAAGCAAGGGCATTTGAGTCCACTTGGCCTCTGTCTGAATCTATGTCTATTTTGTGATATGTGCTTCCCCAGCACTGAAACCAGTGAGGCTTGTTTGCAAGCTGCTGAAAGAAAATGGACTCATTCATTTCTATGAACACATTGATAATGTAGGCTACCATGAGTGATGGACACAAATGGACAGGAAACTCAACTGCTATTCTGTACACTTAACAATGTCTAATTACTGGCATTTTTTTTTAAGGAAAGATACCTTTCTCCTCTCCTCTGCAGCCTCCAGCTTTTTCTGGATCTCCTCAAGAGAGAGTTCTTTCTTCTTTGGAGAAGCTAAAGTTCGTGGTGCTTCTGAGACTGGAGATGGCGGCTTTAGGATCAGTTCAAATGCCTGGCCTGAGGCACGTTTGTTGATTTGTTTCACTTCCATGTCTGCACAATAAGGTGAGAAATTATAAGTCCTTCAATACACCAGCAGTATTGATGAGAGAAGCAGCACTGATATCAGAGTAGGATCACAAGCACAGACAAATGATTTAGCATCTCTGCCTTGGGCATTTTAAATGCAATGGCAGATTATGGGCTGAAAACTGTTCTCAGGAGTACATTCAATTTTATCTGTAATAGCTTAGTTATACCTTAATCTCATGAAGACAAAAATTTACAGCAATTTTGAAAGCTTATTGGGGTTCTGTGCCATTTCACACCTCCTGTGAGCAGTGCCCAAGCTGATTAATTTTTTAACCATGCTTTCATCTTTTCTTCATTTTCTTGGGAATTATGCCAGCTACGAAGAGCTGTAATTCTCAAATGGGGAGTAAGGAAAGAACAACTCAGTATGAGAGGACTAACATTAGTTAACTTCTTTTAGGAACAATATCCAGCATCATGGGTACTGCACACTCTATAGAAAGCAATAGCCCAAACCACCAATTAAATTGGTAAATCAGCAAAAATATTCATCACCCACCACTATGGACTAGGAGGTGAACTGAGTGGTTTCCCAGCACTAGCACATTTTCTGACCTGCAGGATGATTTCCAGTAAACAGCACTCACCATCATATTTATAGATGTTCATGTTGCGAGGTTCCGGGTAAAAACAGGAGCAGATCAGCGAGAGCATGGACAGCTCCTTCATCTTTTCCTTGTAAGCTGAAAGGAGAGATCTCGTTAGCACACTTCACTTCCCCAGCTCCTCCTTAGTGAATCTCTGTCTGAGATGAGTGGCTGGGGATCAGAAAACCTACTCTGTCACCCACCTGGCAAATTTCTCTGGAGTATTTACTTTCAACTATTTCATCTCAACATTGAACCTTTATCAAATCACAAATGACATCCTCAGAACTGCAGAGATGGCTTCTGGTCCTCTACATGACCTCAGCCTTAGGCATAATGCAGTCCTCTCTGGTTTACAGAAAGTGAATCTAGCTACCAGGAAATGCATTTAGCATTGGAAGAGTGCCATGACTCCACTCTCCCCTGGCAGGTGGAGAGACATGATGCTCTTACAGTTTATTTGATGTATCCAAATGTAATTGAGAACAGCTAGGAAAAGCTGACCATACATTGCCATAGGCAGATGCTAAAGACATTACCTTACAAATGAAAATGTCATCCAGAAAATTAAAAATAAATTAAAAATAAAACCAAAAATTTGCATAATGTCCTTAATATGCTTAACTACCTGAAACAAAGCTTTTCCTTCCCCACTTACTGGCCAAAATATGTGGCTTTCACACTCAAGTCTAGTCTATATTAGCTGATGCAATTAATACTCTTGTAATTTACCTTTATTTTGCTATCTTTGCTGATTTTATAATGCCCATAGGCCCTAGTCATGACCAGAGGAGGCACCAGTCTAAAAATGGTGATACCAATAGATAATCATAATGCGGTGTGCCGTGCTCACCCTTCCGAATTGCTCGTAAGTAAGAAAACAGTCTTGTACTTTGTCACTTGGCAAGCCAACGACAGAGCCCAGATCAGAGCTGGCTCTGCCGGGTCCTGGGGCAATACCCTGCCCACTGCCCACACTCCATAACACATGAATGTTGAGGTCGAGTGCTTCAAAATTCATCTTGGCACACACAAACCTCTGCTATTACCGAAATCATGGCTACAGAGGCAGATACTCATTTGCTGCCAGCATGTGAAAAGGTGGCTTAAAATATATGTGACTCAAAATATTGTGTTTAACAGATTAGACCAAATTAGCCCTTGTTGTTGCTAAAGGAAAATCAGATGGTCCTTTGATCTTCAAACTGTGGGTACATTTGACATTCTCAATCAGCCTCTCTCATGGATGCTCTTGTGGTTTTTGATTTTGCTTTTCCTATTCAGAAAGAAACCTGAGATTGATAGGTCTTGAGAGCCTGTGGGTGCTGCTCAGTATGGTGGTATTTGAATAATCCATGGTTCAAGAAAAAATTCTAGCTGCCAGTAAAGGATTAGTTAATTTAATTAAGCTTTGCACAAGGGCCTCTAATCATGTACCTTGAATAACTCACCTAAAGGAGATACAGCTTTTTAGAAAGCATTGGTAAAGGACATGATTTGAGGTTAAGAGTGTACTGAAGACTTTGCTTTTTGTGAACTTAAGCTTAAGTCATGGAAACATCATGCCCATTTCATGTATGTAGAATTATGACTAATGATAAACATAATTAATTCTTCACTTAGACCTCCATCCAACAAGCACACAGGTGTGGTTTTCCAGACTTTTCTTTGAGGAGGGCTTGCCCAGCCAGCTGCCCATACTATTGGAATTACATTCTTCCCAGCAGCAAGGTTGTGGAGTGGGTGCACATCAAACCCTGGCAGGTTGCTAAACACAGAGAAAATGGACACTGGGTTGTGCATTAAAGACATGGCCATTGATGATGCTGGCAGATACTTGTACAAGATCTGCTGAATCACTGCTAAAATGTATACCCTGAAATATAGAAAAGGAATACAAAGCTGCATCCTAGGAATCTTGCCTTTTGCGGCCTTTGTTTATATTTTTTATCTTTGCTTGACTTTGAATATGTTTTGCTTCCTAACAGCATTTAAAATGATTAGAGAAAGGTGTTTTTTCCCCAGCTTGCCATCTGCAAAACACAGCAGGAGAAAGATAAGAACATGCTCAACTCTCTTTTCTTAAGTGCAATAGCTTCACTGAAAGCATGCTGTCAAAATCATTGTCTTAGTTAATTCTGGCCACTGGCAGAATTAGGATGACTTTCTATCCTTCACAACAATTACTATTTTTTTTTCTGTGGTATTGATTTAGTCTGCACTTGCCCTAGAGACTCCTTCAACCGTAGCTGGAGCTTGGCTTGAATACTCACAGAAGTTCTGGAGGCTTCTGCAGCCCTGGGAACCAGACAACCTTCCCTGGTGGCAAACACTGGTTTTCCTGTTGTAGACTTAAGGGCTGAGGGTGTCAAAGGACCTGAAGAGGCAAATACCTCTGGTGTCCAGCATCAACATTGTGATGACACATTCCCCTTGATCAGGTTCAGCTCCGAATACCAGGAGCCCTGCTTTGTTCAGCTCTCCTTTCCTTAAACATCTCCTTAAAACACATTAAAAATTAATGTTAGTCCAGCTGGTGGTCTGATTAAAGTGGCTGGCTCATGTCACACGGGTTACACAGGGAGGTAAGTGTGCTTTACCAAATCCCAAGGGTTAGTGTTTTAGCAATGAAAGCCAGTTAACTCAAGAAGGTTTTCTGTTAAGAAAGCAGCAGACATAGACCAGACAACCAAGAGCAGAGCATTTGTACAATCTGCACAGGACCTCTTGTGTAACCTGAAAGAGACACAAAAATTACCTGCCTCACAGTGGAGCTTTTCAAAACCCTTGAAGACAAGCAGTGATTGCAATGAAGTTTATTTTCCAAATGTGTTTCCACTGGCTTGCTAATCATATCCCTCCTTGTGCAGTCATGTAGGCTACATATATATCATTCCATTAACTGTGCAAGTTAAATGAAGGAGAGTAAATGATGGTAATCGTAATACTACAAAAGCTTTGATAGGGAAATTGCTAGGCAAGAACAGTGTTGACAAAAGATGGCAACAGAATTTTTTAGCTACATGCAGCAATATCTAAATGTTTACATGCATTAAGAACACTGATTTTTGCTAAAACCAGAAGAGAATTCAGTATTAGCATTTCTTATAGTTTTGCTGTGAATATACTAGTATTCATAGGTCTTAACTTCTGAAACTGTGTGATTATTCCAGAACCACATCTACCTTTTAAGAATAAACTTCTCATATTCAGAGCTGCAGAGAAAGCCTTAGAAATACTATCAAATACCACTAAGTCATTGACAGCTTCAGAAAAGAATGAACTCAAATGTCTTTGAAACTCAAGAATGCATGATTTTTTTTCTGAACAAGTCCCAAATGTACCTTAATATTATTGTTTTAAGCCAACCTCACCCTTTCCTCAACCTTCTGGCATTATTTTCAACAGCTATATTCAGAAACTGTGAAACTATTGGGTAAATATCCCTCTTTTGGGTGACCATCCATGCTTTTCCTTTGTGGGCTCTACTTGCTGGTCCAGGTAAGATCTTCAGGGGCCTTTTAGGGGTTCCAATTCTACAATTGCATGAGCAAGAAGGGAAAGACAGCAGGACTGGATCTTTGGAAGGATACAATTCTAAGAATTTCATGCCCATGTTGTGTAATTCTGGGGATCTTTTCCTTAGGCTAGTCTAGTCCCATGGTTTGAACAACCATTAGAGCCTGGGGCATAGTAGATATACTCCTCATACACACCTCCCAGTTTCAACACCTGTCAACTAAACTCATTTGTGCTCCCAGATTGCTCTGATGTGTGATCCAAAGCATGGTCAGCTGGGGTGTTCTGATGATCCTCTTTGAAAATGCTCTATTGATCTCAAACAATATGTTTATTCAGATATATCCTATATTGCTCTGTTAATGACAGAAAAGTAGTCCAGTGCCAGTCCTGCAGCTCACTTGCCCAATGAATGAAGAGCTCAGGCAGTGCTATGGCTGCCATTAGAAGTCAGCAACAACTTATTTACTGCTGGGGGAAATAGGAAGGTTAAGGAAAGCACTACTAAACCATTCCTGTCTGTTCTCATCTGTTATCCAATAGCTATAAGGAATTTTTTACAGTTTATGATGTAAAATGAAAATCTATCCTGACTGACAGGCCATAGGCAATTTGGGTCACATTTTGTTCCTTGGCAAAGCACAGCTCAGACAGATTGTTGTGTCACAGAAGAGACCATTATTCATAAGCAAGACTATTTTTAACAAATAAAGGGAGAGAGAAAAGTGTAAATGTTACTTATAATTAACATCTGATGAAGGCAAATGTGTTGATTATTTTTGCCTTACTGAATCCAGTCTTCATTTAAGAAATGTATTTTACACACCCATTAATATGTGTATCTATTAATCACATACATTAAAATGTAGACATTAAGTATATTAATTTGCAATGTTACTGCATTTTGACATTTCAACTACCACTTGCCAACTAGTTCTTGAAGTTCTGCATGCGTGGAAGGAAAAGGAAATTGGCACATTGCCCATGGTCAGAATGTGCAACTCATAACACAGCTCAGCCCTGTGCTCCCTTGCCAGGAACCTACATGACAATTGCCTTTCTGAGACTGAACTGAAATTCTGCATAGTTTTCTCCTCTGGAAGACAAAGCATCAAGATGTAAGATTAAGCATGAATTGCAGATAGAGAACACTTATCACACCCATCCTTCATATGGATTTCTGATGGATGTTATTGACAATGTGGTTTGTTACAAATGTCATTTTGGTAATGCTCCCTCTGGGGTGCTTTTGGTTTGTCAAGGCAATGCTTTAAGTCATATAATTTCGTGAACACCAACAGCCACACTCTGTGGACCAGTAATTCACAATTTTTTTTTACTAATCCATTTTAGTAATGTGCTGCATCCTTTTCTGCCAAAACAGATGATGTTGCATAATCTCAACTGTGCTGTTTCCTCATCGCTGTGGGGTATTTGAAGAAAGTTACATGATGAGTGCTGCTAAAGTGGTGGGCTAGTACTGGGACAAGCACACGGAACTGGGAGAATTAAAATTCAAGATGGGGCATGAGTAGTATGGGTGCTAGGTATCATTTAGTTTTTGGCATGTCTGAAAT